AGAGTAAGTCCACAACCTTGCTTTAAGAGGCTGTAAGCCGTAAGCCTGTAAGTTCAAAGGGCTGCCGCACACAAAATTTCGTAATAGTAAGACGTAAACTTAAGCCGATGAGCCAATCAAGATGAAACTCGCCTTATGGATAAGTTTACTGCTATTTCTATTTCCGTTAGAGTATGTAGTTCTAAAACAATATCCTGATTGACTCATCGGCTTAAGTTCACGTCTTAAGGTTACTGTTACAGAAATTCTGTCTGCGGCAGCCCTAAATGACGATACATCTGTCACAAAACTTATGCTTTTAGGCCGTAAGAATTGAGTTTTGCTCAATTCGCTTAACGATTAAAGCCTAAAGACTGTGCAAAAACAGTTTAAAGACAGAAGTTATTGTCATTTAGGGCCTTAGCAGAAAGCTGACTTATAATCTTAAGACAATGTCTTATAACTTAAGTCTTATGTCTTTAGTAATGCACAAGAACTATCTTATGACTTATGTCTTAAAAGTGTATAAATACCAGGGATGGGAAGTAACTCGTTACTTATAACGAAGTTACAGTTAGAATTACTTTTTTTCAGTAATTGTAACTTAACTTCGTTACTTTCTTTCCATCTGTAATTATAACTTAATTTAGTTAGATCTTTTAAGTAACTAGTAACTAATTTAATTACTTTCATTGTTATTTTATATATTTTAAACTTATTTGTCAATTTAATGTGCGGTAGTGTCCACTTGGCGCAACAAATACTTCGAAACATTAGATTAATCAGAAGAAAGAAATTTAATTAAAGCGTTCAATGAACTCTTGTATCTGTTTGGTCTATATTTTGGGATCTAATGGAATCCGCCAATCAAATACAAGAGCGCTCAGTGAAACGGTTGTAGACCATTTTGGATTAGTGCTGGAATTTATTTGCAACTTTTAGCCGAATATAAAAAGAATTTTTTTTACAAAAAACATTGTATATGTGTGCTATTTCATATTCATATATTCATATGTGTTTATATTACTTTAACGAAAATGGTCTTTGCCATACAATTTTTTTATCTTTTTGAATAAAATTGTATAACGTGTAAATGTAAGCCAGTCTTTTTTTTTTAATTGTCCTAGGCTGCATTGCTCTGATGACCCCGTGTATCATCCTTGTTTAATATTAGATGAAAAACAAGGGTAAAACGATACATGAAGGCAGTTGGACAACGTTTCTGAATACAGCCCTAATGGTATCGATACTACTAGTAAAAATTCCGATGAAAAAAGTAACTTAAAAATAACTTAAAGTTACTTTGTCAGTAACTGTAACGAATTACTTTTCAGAATCAATAACTTGTAACGGTAATTAATTACTTTTTGAAAAAGAAAAACTGTAACTGTAATTAATTTATACTTTTACAAAGTAACTTGCCCATTCCTGATAAATACGAGGTGCCTTTAAAATATAATTCATAAGTTTTTGTGCGTTACTAAAGACATAAAGCGTCGTCTACAATGAACAGTAGCAGAGTAGAGGCTGTAGACACGTCGGGGTTAAGCCGGTTTTCCGGCCCAGCCAGAAATAATTGATTGATCAACGTTCCAATTCGATATTAATTCAACGTTGATCAACGTTGAATCAGCATCGATTTGACGTTGATCAATCAACCATTTCTGGCTGGGCCGAAAAACCAGCTTACTCCCGACATCTCTACTGTTCTTTATTGTAGACGACGCTTTACTAAAGACATAATACTTAAGATCATAAGACACTGTCTTAAGATTATAAGTCAGCCTTTCTGCTACGACCCTTAATCTCTTTCGACCTACGACTTAAGGTCTCTTAAAGCAAGATTGTGGAGCATAACTACAGAAATGGCTTAATTTATAGCGAATTCGATTGAACGCACTCAATGCGCACTGATGCACATTAAAGCCGTCGTACACAAAATAACATAAAGATATGTTTATAAATAAACATAAAAATCGATTAAATCCTGAAACACTCAGTACATTTCATTTTACCTATTAGGTAAAATATGTATTATAATTTGAAATATTTGCATTTCACTTTTATACTCAAATTAAATCAGTGTACAACGACTTTAATATGCACCAGTACGAACTAGTGCTTCCAATCGAATTCGCCAGAGATTTTGATATGGAAGGTAATAACAAAATGTTATATTTACTCAAGAGATTGGGTTGCCATTGCTCTTTTGATATCCAGCAGTGTAGCGCTCGAATTACGCTACGAGATTTATCTCTGAATTTATCTCGAAGCAGCAAAGCATCTGCAGAACGCAGCTATGTGACAGGAAAAAAGTTATCGCGCGCGGAACTCTGAACGCGCACCGCCTCTCGGCGGGCGGCCCGCGAACAGAAACGCGATCCGGCGGAAAGCGATGCGAACGGCCACGTTCGCATAGTGCGATCCTCGTTGGCAATGGTACAAATATAGCTTCCCGAATATCGGGAAATGAGTAAATACAAGCCAAAGTAGAGTCAGACGAGCCGCTCCCTCGCTCGACGTCCGGCGTGTCGCGATCAGCTGACGCGGCCGCCACGCCGCCACGTTTTCTCACCTGTTGAGCCGGTTGCGCGCCGTTCCCACTGTCTCTCTCCTTTCCCCTTCCACTGTCCTTCTCACTCTGTCTCTCCCTTTCGTCTTCCCGTTGCGTGATCGATCGACTTCGCTCCGCGCCGATTTTCCTGGATGCAGCGCGACGCTACGAATTACCGGCACACTCTCGCTCGCGAGCACTCGCGGACTGGTATGCGTGACTTGATCGTTTCACACGGGATAAACGCGGATCGGATCTGGGTTAAAAATACACACTAAGGCGCGGCACGAGACCCAGCTGCGAACAGTGCGAACCGCTCCCGCCGCTGCCGCCCTACTCAAGGCAGCTCGGGCGGCTGCTTGGGAATCTGACGCGGCTTCCCGCGCGCGCGTTCCTCCCTTCGTTGCCCAACCAGGGGCGGAGCTAAAAACCGATACGAAGTAGATGACCCTGGCTACGTTTCATTTGCTGCTCACAGTGCTCTTGAAATTATTTTATCCTTGTTATTCATCTAATATTAAATGAGGATAAATGATGCTCATTAGCACTGTGAGCGCCAAAGGAGCGTACCCTTCATATTATAGAGTCCGGTCAGAGTGATTTCGTCAAAATGAAAGTGAGATAGGACAGTATAATATATACTGTAATACTTTCTCTTTTTATACAAGTAGATTCATTTTAATATTAACAGGCAAGTATTTCGGAAATATGCAATTTTACTGAAAAACTTTCCAAGCTACCCAAGTAGAACTACAAGTCACGATAACGTCAAAATGATGTTAAAATGAATCGAAAAATGGCTTTTAATGAACATCTTGGAATCATTTTGACATCATGATGACTTGTTGTTCTGCTTGGGTGCATTCCAAAACGTTCTCTCTGAGGAAAATTTTACTTATAGGAGAGGTATAGTATACGTAACGTGTATCAGATAACATTTTCCGCGGAGAGGACATTTTAGATTATTTTAGAATATAACTCAGATTAAAGTATAGTAATACATCACCATTGTACGTCTCCTTCTGTATTGTACAACTTTTATTTGGAATGTCTTGTGCATTATTTTTTTGCATTAAAATTTCATTATTTTCGAAGTATTTGCATGTTAAAATTAAAATGAATCATCTTGTATATACTATTTCAGTCTATAACTTTTAGACTATATTATTTCACTCATTCCACTTACTGAAGTTAACGAAAAACGATAGGCTAATCAAAAGTTTGTCATCTCGTGACCAAACTCTGTCTATTATTACAGGCAATTATAGGATCTCTAATGTGAAGAGCATGAGCTATCGCGATGTCGTAAATGCCGCAAAAATACAAGTATTCAAATTTAAATTATTGGCTGCGTTTAGCAGAGGAAGCAGCTTTGCATAACTTTGCAATTGTTGTAAAATTCTTTAATATAATTGATCTTGTCCTCCTTGAATCTAAATGTATAAACCAATCTTATTAACATAGCCATTGGATTATAATTAAATTTTGAATTTCTCACAGAAAATTAACTTGTCATATATATATTCACCGATCGCGTTGAAATATAATCGGTGAAAATATGGTAAATTAATTAATATTCTACAAAGAGCATTCAAATTCTAATTAAAATTCAATAATTAAAATTTCAATACATTTTATATTTCCGCGCCTTTTTCATTGGGCTTGGTCTACAATCAGTCGGGAGACGTTGTCGTATGTTGTGTGCATGCGCATAATCTTAATTTTTCGTGTTGGCTGTCGATGTCGGCTGCTTGGCGTCATTTGGATTAGTCAGGTCCCATCTTTTACAACTAACGACACCCGACAAGCGTCAGCCGACTTGATTGTAGACGAGGTCTTATCTCTTCGCGATCTGTCGCGTGGCGTAACGTCTGTCACGCGTCTTTGACGTTTCGAAGATATGAAAGAGATAAGAATGGAGTATTATTTTTTAATTGAGATATTTAAATCTTAATATATATTAATCTAATATAATATTGATATAATGTTAATCTAATATTATACTTGATACATATCAATCAAATATAGCATAGCTTGCAACATATACATACCTGACAACGATGCAAATGATGCTCGTGCATAAGTTGCACGTTGCACTTTTGGCGTACTTCAACCGGGTAATTGACGTGAGATCTACGAGGAGGGTCCCGATGATCCGATTCTGAGCGAAAGCTGAAGCACCGGAACTTGCGAGATTAACGTAGAATCGCGTGCGAATGACTTCCACCGCGAGCGAATCCGATGTGCGACACAAGAGTAATGTTTTCACGCGCGAAATTCGCTTTCAAGCAATGATCGCGCGAGAAACACGAAGCGACTCGAATATGTGTAGGGCATTTTGTGACTGGTCGCGATACTCGCGATTACGTGATTTATCGAATAGCGATTCTCGAGGTATCAAAATGACGATCGACACTTGCCGGACCAATCACCGAAACGCGGGTCGCGCACGCGCAACGGAAGGCAAACCACGTGGTGAAATAGGAAAATCGATTTCGTTACTGGAGTATCCGCAGTATTTGAAATTAATATTATCGGATAGTAAAAAGAGGATATAAGTAAAAAGAAGATTTTTCATAAGTTTAAAACTGGAAAACACTCCACGTTGAAATTAAATCGATGTTGTTTCCATCGAGTTAGTGGACTTGCACCCTCAATCTCTCTTTGAGGTTATATGAGATTAGATTGAAATTACGGTAATGTTTATTATACGCTTAAAGACAAAAGTCTGGTTTTTATTCTTGTATTAGATTGTTTTATGATTTTGATCATTACACGAAATTAGTGTGCACCCAGTACATAGTGCACATTAAAGACTGCTTTATATAATGCAATGGCATAATTCATAATATATTCAATATTGACAATGAAATAATACATATATAATAAAATAACAATAAGGTTCAATATGTATAAAACAAAATAAATATTAAAAGGGCATAGAACCAATATTTTAACAAACAATTATAATTAGAATAATAACATTACATACATAATAACATTACATACGTTTCGACTCCGATCGGGTCATTTTCAATGCAAAAAACAAAAATTAACTTAGAAATCCGGTAACATTAAAAAAATACAATGTATTGAATAGCTATTGCAAAAATGTAAAAACTCAGAAGAAAAGAGTAAAATAATTATAACTAAATCTTAATTTTGTGAGAATATTCATGTCATTCAAAGTCAAGTATAAGTAGTCCCATTGAAATTAAGATTAACTTGCAATAACGAACATCTCTTGTCAGAAGAAAATAAAAAAGGAGTTATAACCAATTGAAATTATGCTTAATATGCAAATATTTCCATTTTCATCTTATAAGAAATGTTCGTATTTGCATATTAAGCATAATTTCAATTGGTTATAACTCCTTTTTTATTTTCTTCTGACAAGAGATGTTCGTTATTGCAAGTTAATCTTAATTTCAATGGGACTACTTATACTTGACTTTGAACGACATGAATATTCTCACAAAATTAAGATTTTGTTATAATTATTTTACTCTTTTCTTCTGAGTTTTTACATTTTTGCAACAGCTATTCAATACATTGTATTATTTACTCATTATAAAATGTTACTATTAATTTTTTATGTTTTATATTATGTTAGCGACATTATGTTATATTATTTTTATTTTTATTATGTAATTTGAAAGTTTTTTTTTTAATGTTACCGGATTTCTAAGTTAATTTTTGTTTTTTGCATTGAAAATGACCCGATCGGAGTCGAAACATATGTATGTAATGTTATTATTCTAATTATAATTGTTTGTTAAAATATTGGTTCTATGCCCTTTTAATATTTATTTTGTTTAATACATATATACTTTGTTAAATGACGCGGCATCACATTATGGGGTAGTTAATGGTTTAAATTATTTTTATGCTTTTAATTTTGTTAATTTTATGTATAGCAACTTCTGGCATGCACCAATCTAATGTATTGCAAGTGACTGAATTCAATATTATAGAACTTCCTTTCTCGCTTTAGTAAATACCAAATATATATCTATTTCATTTTAAATTCCAAAAGTGTATACTGTTCTGACTAATTCAACTAAAAAAACAGATCTAATAATAAAAATTAATATTTTCGTGAGATTTTTTTGTATTTTTTTAACATATGTGAAAAATGATATATGCATGTTTGAAGATTTGGTGTCTATTTTGACCCTTATAGTAATGTTTTTTTTTTTTTAATAGATTCAGTCAAAGATGAAACGATCAGCAGAGAGTTTGGACGCTGATGACCTGAAAGCAGAAAGTAATGTTGATGCAGGAAATAATAAAAAGAGAAAGAAAGTGACATTTGAAAAATCTGTGGATAATAAATTTACAGGTAAGAATGAAAAAGAAAATGTGCAGAAATAGTCACATGTAAAAATAAAAAATATTTTTCAGATAAAAATGTAAAACTGTCTTTAACAAAGAAGAACTCAAAAGGAAAGAATACAAAAGTAGCAAAAGTAGGGAAGAATAATGCAATTGAGAAGATAAAGTTGCTCAAACTGAAAAGGGAAAGAAAACAGCTTGGACAGAAATCTGAAGACCAGAAGAATATAAAAAAAGAAAATCTGGAAAAATTGGAGAAAAATACTACGACCACCAAGAAAACCGATTGGCTTCAACTGAAGAAGGAGAAAAAGGAACTTAGAGAGAAACGGAAAGCTAAGAGATTAAATAATGATGCAATATATGACAAAATCATTCGGGCTAAGCAGATCAATGAGAAGTTACGTAGATCTGATTGCAAGTCTGTCGATCGTGTAACGTTAACTCAGACGTTGCACAATATGCTAAAAAACCATTACAACAAAGTGATATTTACACACGATATGTCCAGAGTGGTTCAGTGTATGATAAAAAATTGCGAGGCACATGTTCTGCAAGCTATATCTCAAGAGATAAAGCCATTCATCGTAGAGATGTTACAGTCTAAATACGCGAAAAATTGCGTAAAAGCTATTTTAAAGCATGGCTCGCAAGAAATCAGGCGTGGAATTATTTCTGGATTTTACGGCAATATTGTCAAGTTAATGAGTCACAGTGTATCGGCTTCTTTTGTAGAACTCACGTACTCTACTTGGTGTACAAGTCTCGAGAAGATACATTTTAAACAAGAATTTTATGGGGACATGTATAAACTGGAAAAAGACAAGGAAGTTAAATCATTGTCGGATGTATTTAAAACTGCAACAGATATGAAACTGGCTACACTATCTGCCGTAAAAGCAAATCTAATTAGAATTTTAAACAAAGGTTTTGTTAATTCTACTCTGCTGCAAACGATTCTATGGGAATTCCTCTGCGTATGTTCGGTGGAAGATAGAAGCGAGTTAATAGTTATGCTGCGATCTTACATCATAACTCTGTCCCAAACAAAAATGGGTGCGAAAGTTGCTATGCAATGTATATGGCATAGTACCAGCAAAGATAGGAAAATTATTATGAAAGCCCTCAAGGGAAACGTAAAGGCGATTTGTATATCCAAATACGGTCACGTGACGTTATTGGCGCTCTTTGACTCTGTAGATGACACCGTTCTTGTGCAGAAGATAATATTGTCCGAATTACAAGAGGATCTAGTTAACATTGCGCTGAATGAGTATGGGAAACATGTCATATTATATCTCGTGGCCAGAAGAAAACCTCTTTATTTTTCGCCAGCTGTAGTAGAATATTTACGTCAAGGTGATAATAATTCCGCTAGTAAGAAGTCAGCCGATATTAGGGAAAAGGAACTCCTCGAAGCAATCTGCGGCCCGCTTTTTGACGCTATAATCGCAAATACAGCAATATGGTTATCCAACAGTAGCATAGCTATGACTACTCTGGCGATATTGAAAGTGGGATTGGGAGAGAAATTGAATTTTGCGTTTGAATCGATTGCTAAGTTTATTAGCAGTACAGATTCAAAAATCAAGGACAATGATAACGAGTATGATATGGTTGAACATCCTGGATTACACACAATGTTGAAGAAACTTATTCAGTATGACAAAGAATTGCTGAAAAAGAACGAATCTACATTTGGAGAAATATTAATATCACACCTAACGCCAAAAGTGCTAGAAAAGTGGATAGAATTTAATAGAGCTTGTTTCTTATTAATTCTTCTCATAGAGAATGAAATTGCTATAAATACATTACTAGTTAAATTAAAACCTTTTACAGAAAATCTCAAGAACAAACGCAGCGTTGGAGCATCGATATTGTTAAAAAAAATTGACGAAAAATAAATGTAAGTAGATATGATATTTGAAAGTAATGTATATTATTCATAATCCTTTTTTAATGTAGACTGTTCCGTTTTTACTGGAAATGATTATAATACAGGCTTTGAGATTACAAATTATATATTTTCAATATATTTACAAATTATATACTTTTAATGTATTTACAAATTATATATACTTTCAAGATTTTAAATAAAGTTTAATTCGATAAAAACGGATCAATCTACAGAGATCATCCAACATACCTGCCAATTACAATCATGTTCTTCTACTTTAAATAATTGTTTTTTTGTCATATAATCTACATGTGGTATGCAATTTGTTTACAATTTATTTTACGCATTAAAAAATACATATTCACTAAATATTGTTTAAAATATATAATTTAATATAACATAAAATATAAAAGAGACGATAAGATGTTTAAATAAGATGTTTAAATTAAATTGTTAAAGCATTTAACAATTTAATCAAGTAATGACATAATAATGCATAAAATATTTCGGCTCACAGAGTCTTCATCAGTTTATAATTCTTTTATATGTTTAATTATGAACTAATGGAGACTACGTTATGAAAAAATAAAGAATGATCCTGCAAAATGGACTGCACAACAAGAAAAGAAAATATTTAAATATTTAAATGAAAAGGCAAAAGGAATCAGGAAATGTATTACAGAGATGACACCTCAGCAACAGAGAATGACTCGAAGACGGTGGAGAACTAATTCAGCTTCGTCTTACAAAAGGAAAAAAGAAAGAATAAAATACCTAAAAAGAAAACTAGTAACAACAAACACTAAAAAAGAAAAAAGCATGTCATGTACAAGTGATGAAATGCCTGTACATCGTAGATCATCAATTAATAAAACAAGAAATAATAAATCAAAAAGGCCAAAAATTAATAAAACGAGATTAATGCCTAGATCATTTGATGCGAGAAAGTAAACTATAAAGCAACGAAAAAAAAATCAGAATACAGAAATGAAGGAAAAGAATGCTAAAAAAAATTAAAAGGAAAGTGGATAAGTATAACAAGAGAGACACCTACATTTTTAGATACCCCAACAATTATTCTTTCTATGGATGTAAGGAAATAAGATGAAACCGATATATCCAGTTTTTTATATCGTGTTGTCGATCCTATTTAAGTAAAGAAAATTTATTTATTATGAAATATATATTCTGTAGATTTTTAGTACTCTAACAGTGTATATCAGAACACGACTTATAGACTTCGCATTTTGTATAATAGTTACAAATAAAAGATTCTTTTCAGTATAATAGCACTGACAAAGTGATTAGATTATTATCTCTTACTTTTTCGAGATTTATTTGGTTAGAATATAATACATAAGGGCATAATAAAAAATTTTACAAACAAGTTGTTTTAAATTATACTTTATTAAGGGATATAATACTATAATTAGGCACATCTACATTTAACATATTAAATAAACACGCAACCATAGTTATCAATCTTTTGTTATAGTTCGAGATCGCCAACATCAACGATAGTATGCAATATGCATCGATGTGTGCGAAGGATAAATTCGAGCTGGGATACCATGTACATAATTAATATATGTACGTGCTGGTTAAATTTTAAGCATTTCTTTAATATCAGTTACTCTGGTCCGTATTTCTGGTTGGTTATCCTTCGTTAGATCGGGTAAGAGTTCTTTCAAAAGCTGTGTCATTTTATCAAGTTGTTCATCATTATGTGTCTCACGCATTTTTCTTGCTAACGAAAGAACTATATTTAATGCTTCTTTTCTAATTTTGGTGAACTTCGAAATATCTGCGAAGAAACAAGATACTTAAAAATAGTACTATCTTATAATAATCCCAAATGCTTAAGTTATTTTAATAGAGCAACATATGTTAAATAGAATTAATGCATTTAATTATATCGCATAATTTATAATGTATATACTTACTTATACAATATGATAATATTTTATTGAGACTATCACTTATGTGATCTAATAGTTTTTTGTCTTTTAATGACATTTCCGTTTTGTTTATTTTTAATAAGACAAGTCTATCCACAAAAAGATTTAACGCTGTCAAAATAGTAACTTGAACAGACCTTGTACTATTTGGCAGTACTTTCTGACAGTGAGTCACGAATTCTATGCAGTATTTATCTGCAATCACGAATCGACTTATAAAAAAAAATATTCAAAATGTTATAAAAATGTATATTTTTCACTGATTAAAATTTATCTAAATTCTATAACCTTGAGTGTCTTTGGTGGAAGGCCATGCTTTCCCAAGTACCTCGTAAATTGTTTCTTGCAACTTTATGTTATTTTCTTTTTTCTTCCTATTTTCTTCCGCAGTGTCCTCCTCGTCATCGTTATTTTTATCAGATACCTAAATGCAAAGTATATAAATATTATATTCACGTTTGCAACTATTCCTTCATAATATTACTATCAATGTATCTTACCTTAATCAGTATTTCTTGTACAATTTCATATGTTTCCGTAAACCTATCAATATCGAGTTCATGCAAGACCATAGCAAACGCTTGTAACGCGTGTCGACGATACTCAGCGTTCTCTTTCTTACTTTCCCTATGTAATGTTACCACAACTGTATCTAATAACGCAGTATCTGCATTTAAGGCTTCTCTGTAATAAAATCCGAACTATTAAATTTAACGAGTATTAATTAAATCTTTTTAGCATAAAAAGTTTCAAATTGGTATCTTACGTACTTGCTATTGCATGCTAACATAGCGAGAGCGTTCAATAGACGTTCCTTCCCATTCCACGTTCTACCATGCAAACCATTGATCAATATCTTTAATAAGGTATTTCTGTCATCTGTACCAATATTATGACCTGACTTTAAGGCAATGGTATGAACTGCATTTGCCGCTTGCACTTTTGTAGTCCATGATGCTGATTCCAAAGTTGTATGTAAAATATTGGTTATTGCTGGCAGGTTTTGCACAATTCCTGCTTCGGTCCCGGGAGTTATTTCGTTCCAAAAATCAGTCCATAATTCAACGGTGCTTTCATTTCCTAATAACAGTATGTATAAAAATGCACAAGAATAAAGTGCAAGGCATGCTTGTAAAGAATAACATATTATAAATACTAGTACACACACCTGGTACCTTTTCTGCGTGCATTGCAAAGAAAGCAAGAGGAATAACTATTTTTTGATAATTCTTTAATTTCTCCTGACTGTAATTATTTATAGATTGCAAAGCTTGCCCGATCGCTAATCTTATTGCATCATCTGTAATTTACATTTTTTCATAAAATAAAATTATAGGACGCATATAACGGAGCATATAATGCTACTGTTAAATGTACCTTCGCGTTCCAAATACCACATATTCAAGGTATTAAATAATTTATCCAGACTAGAATCTTTAGCGGAGCCTACTATATGTCCAATGCTAACCGCATTATTTTTTCTTACAGCAGCATTACGATCCAACAAACCATTGAGCAAAGCAGATAGTATCTTAGCTGAATAAAATAATGAATAGTATAATTAATTTTTATATCATCAAAAAATATCAATTACTAAATTGACACAAAAAATATTTTATGATTAATTTAAATATATATACATAATTTAAATATATATGTAATTTTCTTTGTTCCGTATAATAATAATAGTTTGTATTTTATTCATGTTCTGTTGAAATTGAGATGATTTACTAACCACTGTATGGCTGCAACTCTGTTTTCAGATGCGTGCTAAGAAGAATCAAGAAATGCGAACAAGCAATTTTTGTTCCAAATCCTATGCTGAACTTGATTAAATCTATTACTTTTGGCATTAATTCCTTTAATACATTCGCATCGATATATTGGATACACTATACAGACAAAAATATTAAAAACAATATTAAGACTATACCTTATCGAGTTTGCTTCCAAATCATCTATGAGAATATACCTTTGTTATCGTATCCGACGCATAATGACTTCTCGCAACATTCGCTCTAAGATTATCGATTGCTTCCTGAGTCTCCGTGGTTGCGCCGCACACATTACTCAAATATGAAAGCTTAGGATTCTCCGATTCACCAATCGTTTCCAATAACGACGGTATCAGATTGACGAGTGACGGTTTTAATAGAACACCGGCTGTAGATACGAGTTGAGATACCGTTTGCAATGATATAGATCTTACTGTATCCACGACATGAGCAATACCAATATCGAGTAACACGGGCAATATTGCTTGAATAACTTCTTTCCCCGCGTTACCGTGCGATGAATCACAATGACGTATGCAAACCTATGGGATTAAAAAACGATATTAAATTTCCGAACTATATTATAAAAAAGGCTAATCTATAATATGCTCCTTGCTTCATATTTCTTGCTTTTTATCACTTTTTACTTTTTGCCTCTTACTCTATGTCTTCATTTTCTATCGCCTAAAGTAAAATTTAACAAAATTTGGAAGAGAAAAAACACATGAGAAGAAACACAATTGTCAATAAAATGATTACAAAGAGGGAAAAAGTAAGAAGTAAAAAGTAAGAAAGGAGAAGCAAAGAACACATCGTTAGTCTTAAGTTACAGAAACTCTATAGAGAAAATCCGTAGAAAATCTTGCACTTACCTTACTGAGTATTTTAGTGGTGTTCGTCGCGGCTAATCGCGTGCCTTCGTGAATATCGTCCATTACGCGAAACAGTTTCTTCCAGAGTTCTGGGCCACATTCGGCGAAGTCGAATTGAACATTACTCCTTAAAAGATCTGCGAGAGCATTACAACAACTGATACGTACCCTCCATTCATTATTCGTTAGATTATCAGTTACATCAGTCAATATTTCTTTATGATACTGTTCGATCTATGGTGATATATAAAAAATAAATTTTTATGCTTACAACATTACGTACATTAAATGTTGTTAACAGATATCAAATAATATTACTAACGGCTTTCGAGGTAGAAGGGACGACGGCTCGCCAAATGCTGACCATACTCTGCTGGATCTTTGGCGTCGGGTCGAACTGATACCTATACAATCGCGGAATAATGTTGGGTAGATATTTATTCAGTTCATCCCTCGCAATATTGGCGATTGCTGCAAAACCAAAAGCAGCTCC